CACCACCATTTCAATGATATCGTTGACACGCTGTTGCAAACGTAACGTTACGTTTATTTTCCTGCTTTACCCTAGGGGCCCCATGCTTTCTGGACCCCCCTAGAACATTTTTTTGAGGACAAGACTTTTCCACAAAAATGGCACCTTCAAATGTGTAACTTACATTTGGGACGGTTTTACCGACTTATATACTTACAAATGCAATGAACCATGTTTCAGGCCCATTTCAAATTTCACAGGAGCCTTCCTAAATCTAAATTACATACTTTAAAGGATTGATTTTAGGGTTTTTTTTGGATCATATAAGTTAAAATTTTGCATTTTAATACTTTTTGCTGACGCCGCCCCTAAGGACCACAGGTGGTTTGCTAATTTCTACAATGTTGCCTTGTTACCTCTTATGGTCAACAGGGGGTGGGGTGTGGGGGGTGATTAACGAGTTTAACACAGGGCGCACGGAACTTGTTGCCGTTGTTGTTAACATGTTGCACATGCGCTCTTATGGTCAACAGGGAGGTGGGGTGTGGGTGGGTGAGCATGTTCTTGAGGAGTATAACACAGGGCGAACGAAACTTGTTGCCGTTGTTAACATGTTGCACATGCTCTCTTGTGGTCAACAAGGGGGGTGGGGGGTGGGGGTGGAGAATGTTCTTGAGGAGTAATAACACAGGGCGAACGAAACTTGTTGCCGTTGTCAACATGTTGCACATGCTCTCTTATGGTCAACAGGGGGGTGGGGTGTGGGGGGTGTGATAACGTTGTTGGCGAATATAACACAAACACTTTGGCACTGATGCTTCGGGAGGTGAAGAAAAATGGATGGATGATCTGGTGGATGCTTGCATGGGAAACTTGAAAATCATAAATTCCTAATGTTTTTTTTTGGCACTCGGAGACTAAAATTGATTCAGTCGTACGAGTGCCAGCATTTTGTCTCTTAGCCTCTAAAACCTCACTTTTAAATTTGCCAACCTTACAAGGGCGGTGAGTCAACCGGTTGCCTGGTTTTGCATTTCATTTGGGGTGGGTGGGGTGGGGGGGGCTAATAACGTTTTGTCGCCTCTTCTTTTGGACCTTTTGGCAGGTGCTTTAAACTTTGTCAAACTTCTGTTTTACACTGTTGATGCTACGCCTCAACTCTTTTGTCTTGTAATGATCTAACACGCTGTTGATGCTACGCCTCAAGTTTTTTTTTTGGTCTCGATTATCTCAACACACTGTGAAAACTTTGATGTAACATCCAACACGCTCTTGGTGCTACACTCTGAACACTTTCATGTAACATCTAACACGGTGTGAACACTTTTGTGTAACATTTAACACGGTGTGAACACTTTCGTGTAACATCCAAGGCGCTCTTGGTGCTACGCTCTGAACACTTTCGTGTAACATCCAACACGCTCTTGGTGCTACGCTCTGGACACTCTCATGTAACATCCAACCGCTCTGGGTGCTACGTTCTGAGCACTTTTATGTAACATCTAACCTATCACTCTGTGAACACTTCCATGTAACATTCAACACGTTGGCACAGACTTGCAAGTGAAAAACAACAAACATACAGTTTTTTTAGCAGATGGGACCGAAAAAACACTTTTCCACCAATGTAAAATCATCAAGAGGGTTACGAAGTCATGCAAATATCAACCGAACGAATTGCAAGTTTACGCTCTGGACACGAAACCTTGGAAGGGTTGTGAAAACAGAGACTTGGCAGCAGAAAAAAAAGTGAAAATCAGCGGGGTCATTGCGGGCGGCGTGACCTAGTTTTTACGTCCCCAAAATGTAAAATTTATTTAGGGAAGGTCCCCCTACAAAAATGCAAGGATGCAATTAAAACATTATAAAAACCTTGCGCTGCAGCAATAATCAGGGTAGTATAGCCGAACCACACTGTTTGACCAACATTCGGTATGCCGATGTTTCCGAAGGGTCAGGATGAACTAGCGTACGCGCTTGAAGCCTTGTGGGATGAATTCAGCAGGATCAGCGTCTGGAATCTGGCCTTGCATGCCGAAAGCCAGCTCCGTTTTAAGCCGCAGGAATCGTGAAAGGATTAATTTGCCAGATGACAGGGATAGACTAAGCTGGGACAGCATCACGAGCAGACAACTAAAAAACAATCCAAAAACATCATTCACGCATCAGTTTCACGAGCAGTGTGTTTCCAACAACCCAATTTTTTATATTAGCCAAATGCTTAGACTAGCGACGTCCGTAGACGATCGTAGACGTAGAATTTGTTTGACCCAGCGGTTCTCGGGCAGGCTGGCATTGCAGGCGGCCAAATTTCAGTCTGGTTTTCAGCACTTGTGCGACCACCAAGACACCCCATTTTATCGCACGTAGAAAATTATTCCTTCATTCCAAACATGATGAATTTCGTTCCACACCGCGACCTAATAGGCTTTCGGCACAAGCAGTAGTGCGCGAGTCTCTTCCATGTTTGTTTTGGGTTGTGCACCGGCACAGCTGGTGACATCCCTTTTGACTCAGCTGGTGGTATTTCCATTTAGTTCGTTTTTCTGCCATGGATCCTTTCTTTTTGTGTGTCTGGGACTTCGCACTAGCAAGGAGCACTATTTCGGACCCATACTTCGCCCAGATCTGTTTGCAGCCTATTGTTTTCTTCTCCCTCGCGGTTGGTGGGCCGCAGCCATGCCTTAAGTGCTGCAAGCAGCAGCTGCTTCTCCTTCAGACACTCTCCATGGTCCACTCATTTGGATTGATTCGTGTTTTGTGCATCAGCTGGATTGTATTTCCTCAACCAGGCCGGAGGAGGGGTTTCCGATTGATTTCAGGCGACAGGGTACACGTACAATCTGGCAATCGCCTTGTCTGCTCCTGTAGTGCTGGTCACGCTTGCTGGCCGGGTTGCTTCTCATTTGGTTTGCCTACGGCACTTTGGGACATTGACATTCAGGAGAATTTATACATTAAGGACATGCAATTGACTTTTGGCTCTTTCTGGCCGCATCTTACTGCTGCAGGGGCCACCAACGCAAGCCGGGAGACCGCGGTCACTCCTTATTGGTCCCTCAATTTGATGATAGACTGGCGTGTGGCCACCTTCTCGGAGGCCGCGGTCAGGACAGAAACATTTTTTTGGCAAGGACAAGCGGTCACAAACCCCGCAGCCAGGCCGAGGGACCGTACTCTTTTCTGGTTGAATCAGTTTTTGACAGCGATCTGATGACTCCCGCTCACGAAATGGCTACTGGATTTTTCACCCTTGCCAGTCTGCTATGTCCCTCGGAAAGGGTGCTTTTAGCACAAGTCCCGCAGGAGCATTGTTCTCTTGATTGGATTTCGATCTCCTTCTTGGTTGACTCCCTTCAAGTAATGGGCTGCGCACTTAGTGCTGAAGCACAGCTGGTGGCTCCCAGTTTGTTCTTTTTGTAATTTCTTTTTTCGGCGTGGCGTGCACCTGTGTGCTATTGTGTGCTGCTTGCACCGCTGGTGGCGCCTCTACACACAGCTGCTCCCTTGCCTGCGTGTTTTGTGCTGCTGACATGCTTTCAACTGAAGGCATTGAGCTAGCAAAAAAAAAACGCGACCTAATTTACACCACCAGGCGGGCCAAGCACGCTACGCAGAAGTTTTAGTAAAACCATGCAAAAACCACATCCATTTTACCTCTGTAAATAGCCCGGTGGCGCAGAAACAAACAACGGGAGCAACAACTGCATTGAGGCAACCAAACTTGTCATGAAACGAAATGCCTTTATCACCGTAAAATGTGTTTGGAAATATGGAATGCTTTGGTTGCCCTTTGAAGATGATGTGCCGCTTTCATACCACACACATTCGGCAGGGTCGGGTTGCATTCAATTTTTCCATCATGAATCATGAACATGTTCGCCACGCTCGAGATGATTGTTCCGGACCTAGGAATTGTAAGCGATGAACTTACTGCAATTGTCCCCAGACATGCGTCGAGAGAAAAAAAAATGTGATGGCTTGCTAACACGATGCCAGTTGGGTTCAATCAACATTGATAACATTTGGTTTTGGCTAGATTCAACCAGATTGTGGGACACTGACAAATAGATAGATAGATCGATAGATCGATAGATAGATAGATAGATAGACAGATAGGTAGATAGATAGATGGATGGATAGATAGATAGATAGAGATATAAATATAAATACAAAACATGATATAGATATAGATATAGATATAAATATAAATATAGACATAGATATAGATATAGATATAGATTGATAGATCGATAGATAGATAGACAGACAGACAGATAGATATTCAAAAGCTACGTTAGCATTTATTTGATGCGATTGTGACCTTGTCTTCGGGATGGTGGCTATACTGTTGGCCGCATCTGATCTGAATCAACGGGGTGTAATGCGTTGGCTGGGTCCGCGTGCAGGAAAAGTTCAGGTTTTGATTTATTTTGGCGTTCGACATTTGCAAATGATTTTTGGGGGTTAGTGCTTGATCATGTGGTTGGCCAAAAAGGGGACTCAAATGGTGCCCGCCGCCAAAACTTGAAACCAGACACGCGGTCAATAGTCAAGGACTAGCCGACAGAAAATGAAAAAACACAATCCACCAGAATTGAGCGAAAATGTTGGCGGAATTACGAGTGCAGCCGAACGTGAACCACCAAACGTCGGGCTGGGAAGAGCCGGGGTGGCATTCTTTGTTGCACATGATTGCAACAAGGATGGAACCCAAGTTTTCGGCCAACTTTGGGAGAAAACATACATGAATGTGACACAATTTGGCATTTTGACCAAATTCCCGACCACGTTAGAAACCGCACCATGCAATTCCAAAACCTGAGCTGTGCCAAACGGTCAAACATATTCAACATTTTTTGGAATTGAAACCATGTGAAACCAAAGAAGATGAGGAGGTTTGCACACAGAAAAAGAACTGCAAGGCCGTAGCTGTTGGAGGCCCAGTCCTGGGTGCAGCGCGCCGGTCTCCGCGCAGTCTGTGCGACGCAGTGGCGTGGAAGTGCCCGTGGCACGTGGCAATGGCTGGAAAACCGGACTTCAGCCATCTCAGCCTGCAGGAACTTTATCATTCTGCCATACCGTTGATTTGTGGGGCGATTGATGCCGTTGGCGGTTAGCGTTGAGAGTTCGAATACCTGGTATCAAATGGTAGGCGAAAATCATGACAGGTAAATATACAAAATGTGTTTGTGCATGTATGTTAATGTTGCTTTATCCCATGTTAAATATACGTAGTGGGTTCTGCGTCCCTTCGTATCCCCATATTGTCAACGTTTTATCGCTTGTGTTTGAGTTGGCAAATTTGGGAAGTGCATGGAAAGGGCATTGACTCGGATTGACCGCGTGCAACCCGCGGCTGGATGAGGACAAGAATTGCACAGCCTGGGGCCGTTACATGGAATCAAAAGGGGAAAATCTGGGCGAGGCGCCTGTTGTGCCAACCGGGTGGACGGTACTTCTACGCGCCGTTTTGCAAGTGGCAGCGAGAGACAGCCTTGCGGATTATACTATCACAATTGCTCATAATTTGGGGAGGTCCTTTTCAGGCTATGCTACCTTTGTGCAGTACGTATGTATATTTACATTTTCAATCGTTTGCATTTGCGAACGATGTCTTCCATTTTTGTGGTGCACCTGTTGATCCCCACTCAGCCTTTTTGCGCTATCGGAGGCGCTGTGGTCAGTTGGGAAATTATGGAAGTCTTGGGGCGAGTGCCCGATATGTCAGGTGCGGCGACTGCATTTTTTGTGCGGTTTTGGAAAAAATCTGAGAATTATATATATGGATGTTTTTTTGGGATGTATATACGGGGGCACCAAGGTAGTCCCGAAGTGGGGGATCTGATGGGATCTGGCCCAAAATCATGGAAGGTTCGCAGCAATCAAACACAAATGCCTACGGTTGGCTTTTCTTTTTTTGGTACCATGGGCCATCAAACGATTAGGCAATGACAATGAGCAATATTAAGCCATTGCAAGGTGAAACATGCTAATTTCACCAGCGTGGCCGGGCCCTATGCTGGATCCATGCGGAATATCCCGCCAACATTGTGGGACACCTCAGTTTTATCGCTTTGAACGCTAGACACCCCAACCGTTTGAAAATGCTGGTCGCCGGTCCTATTTTGCCGCTCAGCTTTCCAGATTTCTGAGGTATGGAAGTGTAGGATGTCCCCCTTCTCCGAGGCATCGCACGTCCGCGGCAAGAACCATTGCAACAGGTTGAAGGACGGGCCTTGCCTGCTTCGTGGTGGTGGTGGCGGTAGTAGAATCTGTGTCGAAAACTTTGGCAAGCAACTTCAACACAAATCATGAATTCACAAGACGGACGAGAAGAGAATGGATTCCAAACTGAATTATTCATATGTATTAGATGAATATTATATAAGTCGCTTTCCAATCCCTCATCATCACCTAGCGTGTTTGTGTCAACGGTGCAGGCTGCAACTCTAGCTTTGAAGGGCAACATTCGTTGCAAATGACAACATTAACTCAAGAGTTAATGCGTTTATCTTGGTTCTTTTTCGCCCGTCGTTGTGCTTCTTCGGCTCTGTTCTAAATTCTTTTCTTTACTCTCTACTCTTCTTTGCTGTTCCTTGCCTAGCATGACCTTGAGGTTTCTTCCCCGGAGTTGCATGGGAACCATGATTATCCCGGCAAGAAACCCCAAACAGTATCTAGTGAGGATGCTGAAAGGCTAGCAGGACAAGAGCGACCCCAGTAGTGAAAACATGGTGTTCAGTCAAGGTGGTCTCTGGAAGAAGAGGTGCCAGGCAAGATTCTGCAAGTTCCCTTTGTGCAGGTCTCTGTAGAAGATCGTGCGCAAAATCTCCTTGAGAGGTTTCACACGAGCCGTTTTGTGCGGAAAATGAGCACCGGGCCTTGAGGCGGCCTTATGTGTTACCGTAAGAACCCCTCAGTGTTGCCACACTGTTTGGGGAATAAAAAGAATTTAATCATAATCTCGAATCAATTTTGTTCGTATTGGTTCTGATAAATCGTGCTCTTTCTTCCCTGCTCTGCTCTGTTTTTCTTTTCTTTATTCTTCTCTCTCTTATCTTCTCTTCTCTTCTCTTCTCTTCTTTACTCTTCCCATCTCATCGTTTTAAATACATTTGTCTGGTTTTCCTCGCGTAGTAGTCTAGCAGCTGTTGATACTGAATTAAGTCTTGAGTTGCTTCTGTTCATATGGATTCTTGTGACTCGTGTCCTGTCTTCCCTGCTCTGCTCGTCTATTACGCTTAGGATCGGTTGATAAAGAATTATTTCCCAAACTAATTCTACCCATATTGGTTCTTATAACCCCTGATTTTTCTTCCTGCTTTGCCTGCTTTCTTCTACTCTATTCTGCTCTCTATACACTTTCTTTATTACTTTTGAACTTTCAACTCTCTTCTCTATTCTTTTCCTTTCTACCCTTCGCTTCTCTAGACTCTAGTCTTCCAATCTCTTCATTTTAAGTGAATCTGTCTGGTGGAACTATTGATGTAGAACTAAACTGGTTCGCGACATCATTCTGTTCATATTGGCTTTGCTAATTTGTGTTTTTCTCTCTTCTCTGCTCCGCTTTCCCATGCTTTCCCCATCTTGATTCTTTTCTTTTCAACTTTGTGGTGTGCAGTTCTCTTCTCTAATTATTTTTCCTTTCTACCATTCTTTTCTTTACTCTTCCCGTCTCTTCATTTCAAGTGCATCTGTCCGGTGTCTTCTCCGTATTTGTTTGGGAACTGTTGTAAAATTATTATGATTTAACTCCAGACTTAATGCCCCGCAAATGGATACCTCCAGCTCAATCCCAAACAACTCAACAGCAAATTATTAAACCCAGAGTTCGTTCTTTTGCAATGGACCGGCAACATAAACTATTAAATCTGGAGTTCGCACCTATCAGCGACGGGTTGAAATGCATACAACATCACAGATCTTGATCGTGATTTCATTTTAGCTGTTCGTTGGAACCTGCTCCTTTTGAAGTGCTGATTCGGACTAGAAGATTCCCGGCAGATTCTAATCAGGAAAATGCTGCTGTTCAAATCAATTTCATCCCACAAATGGCTCGTATAAATTCACCATAATTCACCACCCTTGGACTGGAACTAGGGCCACGGTCAGGAGAAGTTGGGATGGCGTGAGCCGACCCGCGAGGAATTTGAGAGGTGCACCAGGGCGGGTGTGGAGGGAAGCAAGGTAAGGCCAGGCAGCGCACCCCGAAGCCGCGCAGGTACTGGCAAAGTTGGCCCCTGCAAAGCCAGTAGCTCAGTGCGTAGCATCAACACTCTATAACACAGTCTTTCGTGGTGATGTGGGAAAAAAACTGAATTTTGGATGGTTGATACTATACCAAACCATTTCTGGTGATATTGGGGTTTGTTTATTAACAGGCTTACCACATTGTGCGTCCTGAGGTGGCCGAATTTTCATGTTCCATCACCTCACGGGTGAGCAGCCGCTCTGCATGGAAAGTAGCGTGGACCTTTTTGTGGACCTTGGTCTTCCAGCAATGGCGTTTTTCTAAACAATTCGCGGTTATTTGTTGTAGTTATTAGCTTCAATGGACCCACAGGGTTTTCGGGGTGTTTGGTTTGTGCGCCGACTGCAAGACGTGAGAAAGCAGGTTCCCCAATATGAGCTAGACAGTGTCGCAAAGGTCCCAGCAACTCATCAGATGCCAATATTCAAGTGGTCTAACCGAAGGACTAAATTTTTGCGAGATTCGTTTTTCAGGCATCCATCCAGAGTGACTGTCCAGTTGGATGCCCCAATCTGAGGAAAACCGAGGAAGGGTCAGCTCCAGCTGCTCGGCTATCAGCGATGTTGCGTCACACGATAGTAAAGCGCAGCATGATCTGTAGGTTCTTCGATGTTCTTGGCAACCTGCCATGGATACCCAGGCCCAGATGGTTTCAAGGTTGACTTGATTGACCATTTGACCATTTCCGTTGGTCAGATCCTGTTCAATTCAACCAACGTGTTTCTGCCTACAGTACATGTCAGTTGCCAGGGGTTGCACATGGCTTCTTCACGACTGCATTTCGACTGCCGTTTCTTCGCTTTCATACTTTATATAGCTGTGTTGATTGAACGATTTTCAAGCCCATATGTGTGTACATATTTCTACTGTATATATATATATATATGTATATAGTTAGTAGCCAAAAGAACGGATTTACTTTTGCCAAATTCAAGATGTGGGCCTGCTAAGGCTACCTTAGGAACATCTGAGGCGGTGGCACCACACCCATTGCAGCAGATGCCACCGGCACAGCCGAGTGCGCAGCCTGCGCCAACAGCGTTGCAGCCGCCGCCGCAGCCGCTGCCGCAGACGGCGCAACAGCCTGCGCCTGCGCCGGCCGCCCCGTGTCCCAGCAAAATCTGGTGAATTTGGGGAAAATGTGGATGCATCAGTAAAGAAGTCAAAGGTATGCAAGGTTTGATGCAGCCGAGTCCGGCATCTGACAACACCAACGCATATCAACACCAACTGTCTATCATTTTCGCAGTTTTCCAACCATCATTGTGTGCTTCAGGAATCCGTTGAATGAATTAATGAATGGCTCCAGACACTGAGGTCGGGCGATTTACTGGTTGAGCACAAGCCCGGCTACATGGCAAAACCCTTGCACTCTGGGATGCTCAAAGTCAATGATGCCAACCTGGAGAGCCATATCCCCCACATCTTGGTGAAAATCCTGTGGCATGCCGGTTGTATTCATCTATATTCATCTATATTTTAGGTATACCCCAGGTAAAACCCACTCATATTCCGTGTCTTTCCATGTGGTAAGGCGGTCCTAAAGCAGTTCCCATCCAGCACCCAGGGATTGCCTGAAACCGGGGGCCTTTTCGACTGAGGCTTTCGAGCAGCCATCCAGGCAATCGATGGCTGGAAGAAACACGTGGACCGCCCGGGGGCATCAGTGTCCAACGGAGGGGGATTGAACCAACAAAGAAAGATAAACAAAACATGATTGAACTTAGAATCCAGACATCTCTACTTCATGGATTTTCATGGATCTTCATGGATTTTGAGGGATTCGCAGCTTTGACTCAACATGATCTCAGCTGCATTCAACTTTCAAAAATGGGATCCCGGGATCCAATCCAGGAGCCCTCCGCCACCCTGCTGGATGAAGAGCTGGGGAAACGGACCAACCGCTGGGATCATCCCTGCAGCGTCTGTGATGGCAAGGCGATGACCCGCGGCACCTTGGACCACCTCAGGTCCAAGGGACATTGGATGCTCGGAGATGCTGAAACATGGAGAGTCCATGCGAACAGCTGGAAGTTTCATTGAGTTTCCCCGATTGCAATGGGGAAGGAGTGAAGTTAGAGCGTGTTTTTTTTGTTTATTTAGGTCGTGACTTTAGACATGCCAGTCGTCATGCTGTTGAGTACTTGAGAGGGGACGTGGATGGATTATGATGGATTAACGTCCCCAGGACTGAGTTATGGAAGAAGGTGAGCCGCAACATGCCTACGCCGGAAGAAGGGGCCCGGATGGACCTCTCCCTCAAGCTGCCTTGGGTCCAAAGTTGGGAGATCCCAGGAGGTCTCGCGATCTACAACCATCTGACCGCAGCAGTGAAATTGGAACTGAGTAGCTTGTCTTTGTGGAGGTTAGTTGGTGGGGATGCTGTTGGCCGGCTTTCGGGGATCTTTGGGGAGCCCGAGAGTTTACGCCGTTTTTGCGAGCAGAGCAGAATTGTACCAGCGCAATTGATCCTTTGTGGGTGTTTGCTTTCGGCAAGGTGAACAGATGTATGTGGCCCTTGGGTGAAGAAAAAGACTTATGATAGTATCACTCTAGACCACTCTTGATGTTTGCTTACCTTGATACAAAACGTGCCATCGGAGTCATTGGAAACTTGATCAAAGGCGCCCAAGATGATAGAATTCAATCAAAAAAAACTATATATAATATCATTTTTGGATTTTTGATGTTGATTTAGCAGCAAATAGCCTATACCATCTCCCCAGTCTAATATAGACTGAGATAGGCCCCAATAATCAGCCATTCTTAGGGGAAAGTAGTCTCCCAACTCCCAACTTATGGTATGGTCATGTATGGTCTACGTTAGTTTGGGGTGGTATATCCCATTATACATCACGATATCCCCATCAGGTATCGCATGAAACCTCCCATGAGATCCCAGTATTGAAGGATACAAACAACCCCCATGATACTGTACTCCATGAGATCTGAGGAACAAGAGTTGGATATCCCTATGGCATATATCAAAATATATCGCATGGTATTGATCACATACATTGCATGCATGCATTCATGCATGTGTGCATCCATCCATCCATGCATCCATACATCCATATATCCATACATACACCCATTCGTCCATACATCCGTGCATCCGTACATCCATCCATCCATCCGTCTATCCATCCATCCATACATACTGTACATACACACACATATTCATACATATATATATATATATACACATATTCATATATATATATACACATATATATATAGAATAAGGTAATCTCCCACAACATCCCTGATGATATCAGCTACTCAGGATCTGGAGGCAGCTGCAGCAGCACCTCCGGACCAGCAACGCTCGCGGCACCCGCGGCACCGGCGATGCAGGCGCCAGCGGCAAAGGCACCGGCACCAGCGCCGGTGCAGGCCTTGTGTCTCAGCGGAATTGGGGAGAAGCGCCGCAAACCATGGTTAATGATGGTTAATGATGGTTAATGATGGTTAATGATGGTTAATGATTGGCCAAGAGCTTGGATGATTTTAGGGTCTCGCCGGTCGGAACCCCCGCGCTGACTGGGAAATGACTTCGGTCTGATGGGCCATGGATGACATAAAAATGGGGTGAGCAAAGGACATATTTACATGCTTGGTCATTCTGAATGAGCGTGCTAAGCTATCCGATTTTGGGAGCAAATGATTTTCAGAAGCTTTAGATGAGTGGTTCATGCCTGTTGATTGAAGATTGGCTGTCCAATACAGTAGGTATGACACCATGAGAGAACAAACAACACCTTGTTTCTTCAAGGATTTGCTTTCTGCCCACTAAAGTAAAGCCGCATGCTTAATTGGACCATGCTGTGGCGGGAGAGAACTCAAAGTTGCCTATGCCCCAGGATCGTCGAGCACAAGATGGACTGGTTTGAGGCGGCGAAAGATTCAAATAGCTGGTGGCAGCACATGGATTCTTAGTAGAGGAGTTTAGCTTGGGGGGGGGCCATTTGCACTGCTGTGCCTACCGGCCAACCATTATGAGCTGTGGAGGTAGATCATGTTGTTACTTAATGTTGATTATATATAAACATCCAGTTTAATCACCATGCTCACCCGGTCTTATTGTTCCGCTATTCTGGCCAGCGGTTTCAAACCATTCTTCGTCATCCCTCCAAAAAAAACAGTGAATCATCACAAAAAAAATCAGTAGCGATTTAGTATGATTTACTGCTCATTTTTTTCGGAACGACATGGAACAACTACAATGTTCATTCATTTTCATTCATTTCCTACCATGTTTGGGATGATGATCCCAACAAACAGCTCGTCACTTTAGGATGGCCCCGGTCAACCTGCGCTAAGGAAGGCCCCGGGCAAGCCGTTGAGGAGAATTTGTCCAGCCATCGTAGCTGTTTGTGCAAGATGTGTGAGGCCGAAATGATGCCTGGCCAAGTTCGTAGACGAGAAATCCCCATGAACCAACCGATAGAACTTGAAACGGAGTTCCCAGAGTGTAGTGACAACACTTATATAAAATGTTGTGTTTGTGCATGTGGATTGGCATATTTGTTTGCGGACAGGTATTTTTTTTTGTGTGTGTGTGATTGCGCAGACGAACCAAATGCATCAACATGCGCACACACTATGTTCGAACATGTTATGTCAACACGATTGTAGTGCAACATCATCGATTGGAACAATCTGTGGCTGTTCCGAAGTGAGGTAAAGAAATCACGTGAAATTCCCCGCTCGCATTTGTTCTCTGGCGCAAAGGAAAGAAGGCGCAAAAGCACACCTCACCTCCCAAGACCACCGGTCTCTTGCCGCAGTTGGCATGACAGCTTGGGGGGCTGTGACCTTACCGGCCTGAGCAGCTTTAGCTCACATATGGAAAGATCGTAGCTTGTATTCCTCTTCTCCTGAATGAAACATTCTGATGTATTGAGATCCGGAGATCCGAATCCCAACTGGTTCGTTTTACTTTAACGGGTATAATGCTTTCTTTTTCATTTCGCTTGATCTGAATCTTGCCATTTTAGATTTTAGCCTTGCTTTATTACGATGTTTCCGAACTCGTCGTCCAGGCAAGCCCTGATGAGCAACCTCAAGAGCATGTGCACCGCGCCCCCGCCACCGGAGGTGGGCTTTAAGTTGGCCAGGGCGGTGATGATGGATGGAGGATGCATGGAAGATGAATGGAGGATGGATGATTGTTAGATTTTTCAATTTGAATTTGATTGGATTTGACTTGATGAAAGATGAGGATGACTATGACGACTATAACTAGGATGACCACGATGACCAGACTGACCATGATGACTATGATGACTATGATGCCTGTGATGCCTGTGATGACCATGATGATGATGATGATGATGATGATGATGATGGTGATGGTGATGATGATGATGATGATGATGACGATGATGTTGTTGTTGATGATGATGATGATGATGATGATGGCGACGGCGATGACGATGACGACGATGGCGATGATGACGATGACGATGATGACGATGATGACCATGGTGACTATGATGACGAGGTGACGAGGATGACGATGATTACTATGACTACGACGGCGATGATGGATTTGATTTGTTTGTTTGTTTGATTGGATGGATTGATTGATTGATTGATTGTTTGATTGATTTGATTCGATTTGATTGGATTTGGATTTGGAATTGGTTTGATTTGATTCGGCTTGATGATGATGATGATGATGACGACGACGACGACGACGACGCTGCATGCATGAGGACATATGACATAAGCTGCTTCTTTCGTCCTACAAGTCTCCTACAAGTCGCCAGAGCAGGTGGCCACCAAAATGGAGAGCGTGTATTGGGTGCAGAGATTTGGCCCTTTCGTCTTCAACCATCTGACCGGTGCTCTGCAGCCGTCCCTTGGAAATTGATCGTTGGGAGTTGGGGTAGCCAGGTATAGCTTCGTAGAGCTGTTTCGATTCGGGCATCAGTGATGTCGCTGTGGAAAAGACGGGCCAACCATGCCAATCCCAGACGCATCTCGATAATTTGATGGATAATTAAATCAATCACTCATCACTCTCATAGAATCCCATGGCAGAAATCGACCAGCTCCGTTCATCTCAGGGCGCTGCCAGGCCAGGGCAAGTGGGTGGACTGGCTTCCATGCAGATTTTGTGGGGAAACTTGAATGTTGCGGGTATACAAAGGTAGGTGGGCAACCCAGTGCCCTCCCCACTTGCCAAATCTACTCTTGCAGACCCCGCTAAACCAGAGGCTTCATAGCGCAGTTGCCCAGTCATCAGGTGTCTATTGCTCAACATGACTGACCAAAACCGGAGTTCAATACTAGACGACAGTGTGGCAGGAAAGCAAACCAAGAGACAAACATCAAGCGCATGCATTTCATGCGAGAGGGGTGTGTTTCATAAAGATGATCCGCACTGCGCCGCCGCCGAAAGAGTAGATTTTGAAAGAATCAGAACGTAGGTGTTTCCACAGATCCATGCAGCCGTATCTATACACCTGCATAAATGCAGTCGTAGACGCGTAGGTGTTTTCACCTAGATCTATGCAGCTGTATCTTTACATATCTACACGGCTGCACCTACACATTTGTAGATGCGTAGATGTTTTCACTTACATCTCTAATACACCTGTATCTATACATCCGCAAAAAATGGTTGTAGATGTGTTTCTAGATGTCTTTACCTACGCCTATTGCCTATGGACCTGTGCCCATACATGTGCATGTAATTATACAGTTTTGCATGTATAACTGTTTTTACCCACATCTATACACCTATATCAGCCTATATTTATACATCGGCGTGTATTAAGTTAAATGTGTAGAGGTTTTTGCCTACATGCATTCACCGATTTCTATACGTTTGCATGTATAAGATTGTAGATGTGTACATAGATGCTTTGATGATGATGATGATGATGATGGTGGTGATGATGATGATGATGATGGTGACGATGATGATGATGATGATGATGATTGTGAAGATGATGATGGTGATGGTGATGGTGATGACGACGATGACGATGACGATGTTTTTTGCCGCTCTTTGGAAGGAACACTTCACAGGAGCTTTTGGAAGTAAACGAGAAGCGTTAATATCACCGCAGAACATTAACAGAACATAGCAAGAATACCATGTGGGCCATGGGGATGTAACCCCAAGATTGGGTGGTTATAAAACAATAAGAGAGATAAAAGTGACCAGCCCATGGTGGTCCAGGCCACATGTCACGAGAGGCAGGGCGAAGCGTTGTTGAAGTCATGGCGGGCACGTCATGGGCAGCACTTAGGGGGTAGTTGGGGTTATGAATGGGTCCAATCATGATAAGAATGCAATCACTCCAACTTTTGGGCTATAGCCTCTATATATTTTTGTGTTTATGGTCCTATACCCATTCATCAAGTGGAATTGCGACCCCAAATGAAATACATTAAAGGGAATCAGAAAAATGGCTAGCCATTCCAGTTTAAGAATCAACGTTCCATCCTGTGTCTTGCCGGGGTATGCAAATAATTTGCCCAAATGACCTGTCTGGCTGGTGGTTTGCATATCTTCTTAAACCAATTGTGGGGTTTAACATGGTAAAATCAGATACAGTCAACACACATCGGGGTCCATGTAACCAGTACGAGAGGTAGGGAAGAGGTGAAAAAACCAGGGCCAACGCAAACGGTGTTACACCCGGTCGGTGGCCTGGGTGGGCTCCCGGGCCCCAGGGTTGCATTGGTTTAATCCACTGTGATGGATGTTTCGTGGCAGGTTCTTCCAATGACAAACAACACCCCTCCGGTTTCTTGGCAGGTAGTTGACATGACTCATGCATGGTACTTCAAAAAACGATAGCTGTTAATGTTGCTGGCAAGGGTGAGGAGAAGCCTTATCTTCGGCATTTGGTCGGATCATTTCACATCCTTTCCAGTGTGTTTTGAAAGGGAAGGTTCCCACCTGAATCAGACGAGAACTAAAAACTATAGATTGTCAAAAGGTCCCTTCCATCCATCAGGCACCCGTCCCTTCGTCTGATTGTTTCCAATCTATTCTCCTTTTCAACCCCAAGTGATTGACGGCGTATTCACTGAGTTTGAGATTTTGTCAGCATCACATTTTCCGTCATGTTTTTAGTCATCATCCATGTTTTGCGGCTCCATACCTGTTCCTGTTGCTGATCTCCCTTTTTTGCTGGCTATGTATATATCTCATGTGCTCGCAGTGGTTGGATATCTATGCGCTATATACATCTATATACACACAACGCAAACGTCAATGGACATGTAAATGTAAATATGACTGTAAATGTAAATAGTACCCACAAATATAAAGACACACAAGCATATATTTTTATATATATATACACACATACACAGAAATACAAATATAGATAAATATAAATAAACATATAAACAAGCAAACAAATAAATTATCGAAGGATGTTTAGAACTCAAACTTCCGACAGTATGGACAGATGGAAAAGCAGAGGTGGGAAGAGTCGGGAGAAAGAAGAAAGAAGATCAGAGAAGAGAAAGAGGCAGAGGAAAGAAGATGCAGGTGCGCGAAAAGGTAGAAAAGTCGCGATTCACTGTGTTTTCCAATGGTTTGGGCTCCGGAGGGTCGAAAAGTAGGCTCGCTAAAGCGGCGGGCGCGGAGCCATCTGGCCAGATGAGAGATGAAAAATTGCATGCCGTTGCGGCGCGAAGGACATTTCGAAGTCAAAATGTACAAAGCACTTCATGTTCGGACCACTTTTGGAAGTTGACATGTCGAAAAAGTGCACGCCGTTGTGGCGTGAAGCACGTTTTCAAAGTCAAAGCGTGCAAAGCAGACCATGCACTTTTGGAAGTTGAGATGTTCAAAAAGTGCACGCCGTTGTGGCGCGAAGCACATTTCGAAGTCAAACGTGTTAAGAACTGACGTCTCGGACATCTCGGACCACTTTTGGACACTCAGATGTCATTCAGATGTCGTTTTGTGTGGCAGGCGCAAGGGATTCCGCTTCTTGATAAAAATTAGCAAAATGTGAGGGTTTTGTAGCAGGCAAGGCAGGCGTGGGACATTTGAAGAGGATCTGCAAAGATGCACTTCGCGTGGCAGGCGCAGTACAAGAGAAATGTTCATCAGAGATGTTAGGAGGTCAGGGCGCTGATTTCCCGCGATGGGTTGCATTTTGGTGCATCAGCCCTTCAGGTTTGCTAAGATGATTTTGCGTGACGGGTGCAACACTTCGTATGACCTGGCCTCACTTTTTCGTGGCAGGCGCGGTAATTACTTTAGACAGATGGAGTGGAGAAACCACAAAACGCATTGGTACAAGGCCGTCAGCTCTGCACTCAACTTCCCTCCATTTTTGAAGGAAGTCTCGCAGAAATGCTTCGTTTTTGATGTTGTCAACTTCGAAAATGGAGGAAGTCTCGCAAAATTGCTTCGTTTTTTTTGACGTTGTCAACTTCGAAAATTGAGAGAGTGTGTTTTTGATGTTGTCAAGTTCAAAAACTGAGGAAGTCTCGCAGGATAGCTTCGTTTTCAAGCTTGCAGATAGACAGATAGATAGATAGATAGATAGACAGCTACAACTACAACTACAACGACAACTACAACTACAACTATACTACACTACTACTACAGCTACGCATGCAAATATGCTACGCTACATTACACTACACTAATTACACTACACTACACTAAGTACATCTAGTTATATTACACTACGCTTGTTACACTACAGCTGCAACAGCAACTACCACCACAGCTACAAGTACAACTACAACTACACTACATTACACTACGCTACACTAATTACACAGCAGCACGCCACAACTACAATTACAAATGCAACTACAGCTGCACTACATTTTACACAACGCTACACTACACTAATTACATTACATTACGACAACAACTACACCAACAACTGCAACTACAACTAGAACTGCCACGACATTACGCCACACCACACAACACTTACACTACACTACAACTACAAGTACAACTACACTATTTTACACTACACTAGGCTACACTACACTATACCACACTACAGTACACAACACTACACTACACGATGCTACACTACACTACGCTACATTAATTACACCACACCAAAACAATAACTGCAATTGCAATTGCAACTACGCTACACGAATTGCATTACATTACAGCTACAACTCTGCTACACCACAACTACAACTACAACTGCGCTACGCCACACTACATCCAGCAGTTGTGGTGACGTGACCACTGCAATCATTGCAACCACTCCAAAAAACACAGCTCCAGACTCCAGCCATTTTTCGATCCACGGGTGGGTTCGCTCTGCCATCCATGGTTCACAACAACCAACCTCTCCTATAGGTTTTCTATTTTTGAAACTTCCGCCACCGCCTTGTGCGGCACCACTGGTATATATATATATACATATAAATGCATATATATATATATGTACATATGTATATGTATGATCATATATGTATGTTTACATCTGCATATTTGGCATCACTTAAATATCCTCGAAGTTTTGGTCCCGCATCCCAGTTCCATGTTCCAGGTGGTGCCAAAAGCTCCAGCACCGGTAGCACCGGCAGCGGCGGCTGCACCGCTGCCGGCGGCAAAGGCAATGACTGTGGAGATTGTGATTGGACCAGGGGAAAATCTACAGTCAAATTTACAGGAAAACCTACAGGCAACCCACGGTTTTAAACCCATTCAAACTCCAAATGTTGAGGTTTCCTATATAGATTTCTCCCTTGAGATGCTTGTTTTGGATGGCAGTGATGATTTGCCTTTCATTTTTTTGCAGCGTTTTTTTGTTTTGCGATGTTTTGGGGGGTATCTTTGGCGGCCATATTCGGCCATGTATTTCTCATGTTTGTTGTTACTTGGTTGACATGCTGGATCTTATTATCATCAGTTTTCATGAATGCCAGTTTGATCTATTCGCTTGTTTGGTCCACCATTTTCATACGCGCACTTGCTGTTCCGCAAAATTTCCATTGCAAATTGGGTCTGTGTCTTCTATCCCTCCCTCTCCACAAACATTTTGATTTTTTGGATTTTTTTGGTTGGTTACAGAGCTTGAGTAGCAGTTGTTTCCCTTCACTGGAGGCCAGCCTACTGACCTTCCGCAATGGTATTAACTACAGAGAGGCCATGAACGACCAAGGAAAGTGGAAGAAATTTATGGCGACTTGGCAGGGCACCGGGAGCATCCCGGATCTGTGGTCGGTAGCAAGTAAGTGGATATATCTCAAAAATGTTCCAAACCAGCGGCACCCAACAGCACCAAAAGGCTTGCCAACACTCAGAGAAATACGGAGATGTATGATGATGTATGTAATATCATGTGTATGTGGATTGTAACCATCATATCAAACGATTCAGCGTAATAACTTCAGCAATCATCCGAGCAGACTCTGGGAGATCGAAAGCTGCCACGGCCGCCGTTGGTGTGAACACTCCTAGGAAGAACCGACCAAAAATTTGGATGACAATATCTATAGCATCATGGTGAAGTTCAGTGGCAATTGCTCCTCGGCCACGGGTGGGACATGGTAGGATGCTTGGACCCATCATGATCCATTGAAACAAATCAAGATGTGCTCTGTGATTGACTGTTTGGGAATCAGCTTCAAGGGGCGTTCAGATGACCAGGTATGGTATGCGAGGCGAACCTGTGCCGTGGATGCACTCGAGTTTTGCGCCACAGTCTGGTTCCAACACGTACCAACCAACTGTTTTGCGTCCTGTTGCATCGTTGCCTTTGGGAAACCAGGTTGGGCTACAATGAGCACTTGTGCTCTGCGATGCTGGGCGAAAGTGCAGATCCATGTGAACCCCAAACCATATTTATAAACATTTACCATTTGGGGATGGTTTGTAAACCTAACCTTTTTTTTTGGCCAGTCATTGAAGATGGTGCTGCGCATACCACATTATTGTCATAGCAAAGGCACTGAAGAGGTTCTCGGAAGCAAGCAATGACATCAATGGTTCTTGTCCGTCAAGACGCCATGGGCCAGTGAGGCAAGCCAGGGTGCGCCAAGATCACACTTGGCATGTCTTTGCAGTAGCAGGTTTTCTCCTGCAAAAAGACTGGATACCCTGAAATTAGACCAGCCCCTACCTACCTGGAAAGCAGGCCTTTCAACTGCAAGATCGATGTCCACGTCTGGTGGGTTTTGAAGTCACCCGAGGAAGCACTTCAAGAACATGAGGGGCAAGTTCCAAAATATTCCAGATGAGCCTGAAGCTCAGAAAAACTTTCGTCAACTCGTGCAAACTCACGGCGCCAATGCTCGGATATCCTTGTTCACCAGGGCTTTCTGTTCACTTTGCGTTGGATTTCACTGTTTGCATCCAAATTTCAAGGTGTATACAACTTGACATTCACTCAGGGCAGAAGCCGCCGATTGGAGAAAGCCTTGGGTTGAACAGATTGATCCTTGGTCAAAGGTCCGGAAGATCAGCAAATGAAACCGTTTGCAACCTTTTCCACTTCAATGCTGGTTCACGGTCATCTTGTATCCACAGATTTTCCTGCATTTGTATGCATTTCTGGTGTTGCGGCACGTCGACATGCGACAGCTGCCGGCAAGGGATGGCCATCTCAGCAAACATCCTTCCCACAAATCCTTAGGCTCGGTTTTTGTTTGAGCCTCGCCCCGGGCACCCCCCCAAAATCAATTGAATAGACAATGAGTTCTGGCCCCCTTGTATCAGTTGATGAACTTCCCCTTCGGTTCTTTGCCATCCCTCATGGGCTCATGGGTTACTTGGCTGGATGATCCTCACAGACACGAGACATGGATCCATCATGACCCATGGGTTTAGTTGAATCATCCATTGACAGATTAACTTAACCAATATGCCCTATGGTTATTTAACATAGCCATGGATAAGCACCCATTTATAGATGATTCATGATGATTTACCTATTAAAAATTGTGATTTCCCATAGCTATTGTAAATAGCCAGAGGGTACATTTTCCGCAAACATTGGAATTTCGCAGCCGTGTTGATGACCAGAGTTGAAGCCATGCCCAGGAAACCACCAGCCGCTCGGTGCAGATTGGTGCGACTCAGATTGGTGGAAAGCCCGCGTCTTTTCATGGCAAGACTTAGCCACCAGTTTTCATCATTTGGCTGACTTCTTCTACTCTTTTTTTGAAATCTTTTTTCCTAGTGATGTCTGATTGGTGGGTTTAATTAGATATTACATGATATATGTAATTTTAAATGTGTATATATGTATGTATATACATATGTATACGCATGCATCACCCCCAAAGGTTCCAGAGGATCAACCATTGGGTTCCCGCGGCTCAGCTAAGATGGCTTGTTCTACCACAACCATCTGACTGGCCAACAGGCTTGGGCACGCCGATCATCGGTTCACTCAGCCGGGAGCAAACCTGTGGTGTTGATTGGGGTTGATATACATGTGCAGATGCATAGTGAGAGATGTGGATGATATTGCGGAGTTGGTTTCGGAGATTTTGTATTTACCATTTTGGCAAAGATGATGGAAGGATGGTGGTCGCAATTGACATGTTTGGCCGCACTGCGCCAGGGCTTTGAGAAGGACATCATGGGTGGAGCCACGCCAGCAGTTCCAGTGGCCCAGCCGTTTCCAGTGGCCCAACCAGGCGCTGAAATGATGGCTTTGGAAGGGGAACTATTCCAAAATAGCTAGAATTGAGGTGGACGGGTGGGACAACTGGGACAAGGTTTTCAAGGCTTCAACCGTATACTCTCCACTCAATTCAAGCAGAAAGGTTCACAAGCAGGCCCGCGGTTGATATGATTTCGACGCGTAAAGCTAAGAGGGCACCCCCCAAATCCGCCTACTACAACATCTTCTCTTCTCTTCTCTTCTCTTCTCTGACTCTTCCCATCTCTGCTTTTCATCTGTCCATATTGTCGGAAGTTTGACTTCTAAACTTCCTTCGATAATATTCTTTTATTCAGTATTCATACATTATATACAATATTTATACATATTTATAGTATATTTCAAATATTATTCAGTATCCTGAAAATATAATATATATTAATATATTCTATTTATAAATACCAGTAGTACCGCACAAGGCGGTGGCGGAAGTTTCAAAAATAGGAAACCTATAGGAGAGGCTGGTTGTTGTGAATCAGGGATGGCAGAGCGAATCCACTGATGGATTGAAAGGTGCTTGATCTCTCTCACTCTTTCTCTCTCTTTCTCTGACTATCTACCTACCTACCTATCTATTTTCTATGTATCTATCTATCTATCTATCGATCTATCTATCTATTGATCCATCTATCTATCTATCTATCTATCTCTCTCTTTCATCTAATTAACTATCTATCTATCTATTTATCTATCTATCTATATCTCTCTCTCTCTCTTTCTTTCATCTGTCTATCTGTCTAGCTGTCTGTCTGTCTATCTATCCATCTATCTATCTGTCTATCTGTCTATCTATCCATCTATCTATCTGTCTATCTGTCTACCTGTCTATCTATCTATCTATCTGTCTATCTGTCTGTCTGTCTGTCTATCTGTCTAGCCATTTATCTTTCTATCTCATCTACCCAGCTGGGCTCTCTCTCTCTCTCTCTCTTTCATCTAACTACCTATCTATCTATCTACCTACCTGTCTATCTATCTCTCCCTTTCATCTGTCTATCTGTCTAGCTGTCTACCTGTCTATCTGTGTTGCAGTGTCATTCAGTGTCATTCAGTGTAATGTAGTGTGGTGTAGTGTAATTAAGTGTAGTGGAGTGTACTGGAGTGTAGTGTAGTGTAATGTAGTGTACTGGAGTGTAGTGTAGTGTAATGTTCTGTAGTGTAGTGTCTTGAAGCGAAGCGACATCTGAACCTCCAAAAGTGGTCCGAACCCCTAGTGTTTTGTACATTTTGACGCCACAACGGCGTGCACTTTTTCGACATCTCAACCTCCAAAAGTGGTCCGAACCCCTAGTGTTTTTAACATTTTGACTTCGAAATGTGCTTCGCGCCACAACGGCGTGCACTTTTTCGACATCTGAACCTCCAAAAGTGGCGCGAACATGTAGTGTTTTGTACATTTTGACTTCGAAATGTGCTTCGCGCCACAACGACGTGCACTTTTTCGACATCCGAACCTCCAAAAGTGGCGCGAACATGTGGTGTTTTGTACATTTTGACTTGGAAATGTGCTTCGCGCCACAACGGCGTGCACTTTTTCGACATCGCAACTTCCAAAAGTGGTCCGAACCCCTAAGGTGTTTTTGACATTTTGACTTCGAAATGTGTGGCGCGAACTTTTTTGACATCGCAGCTTCCAAAAGTGGTCCGACAATGGTGTGTTTTGTACATTTTGACTTGGAAATGTGCTTCGCGCCACAACGGCGTGCACTTTTTTGACATCTCAACTTCCAAAAATGGTCTGGAGCTGGTGTGTTTTGTACATTTTGACTTGGAAATGTGCTTCGCGCCACAACGGCGTGCACTTTTTTGACATCTCAACTTCCAAAAATGGTCCGGAGCTGGTGTGTTTTATGCATTTTGACTTGGAAATCTGCTTCGCGCCACAACGGCATGCAACTTTTCATCTCTCATCTGGCCAGCTGGCTCCGCACCCGCCGCTTTAGCGAGCCTACTTTTCGACCCGCCGGAGCCCCAAATCATTGGAAAAACACAGTGTTTCGCGACTTTCCTACCTTTTCGCGCATCTCCATCTTCTTTCTTCTTACTCTTTCTCTTTACTCTTCTTTCTTCTAATCTTTTTCTTCTCTCTGCCTCTTCCCAGCTCTGCTTTTCATCTGTCCATATTGTCGGAAGTTTGACTTCTCAACTTCCTTCGATCATATATATATATATATATACCAACAGTATCTTGCCAAAAAAACATAAGCATTCAATTTCCCATTATATACCCAGTCTATTTCCCATTGTGCCGCCATATTGAACTTGTGTAACCGTTGGTGAAGTGGCCGGGATGGCCTTCCTACAGTCCCACCGACAAAGTCATCCCCATGACATCCCCATGCTAAATCCTCTATGAAACTCCCAGTGCTGTCATAGGTCATTCCAAATCTCCAAAAAAAAATGTTAGTTATATATATATATATCCCATGGCATTCCCATTGTATATTAATATTATTAACTATATTCCCAGATATACCCTCCGGCAACCAAATGTGTCAATGGAACATCCATGAACTAAATGGAAATTTATAGCGCGAAAATCATCGAACTAAATGGGGGGTTTTCAAGCATGCCACGTTTGATGACACCCGAGGGTTGTTCCTCTTAACATCCGTTCTCGATAGTGAAATGCCCATGAATCACCATAAAATTACATTCAATCATCAAGTTCCCATCAAAGCAGCATAAAACCAATGAAATCACCAATAATCACCATTCAATCCCATCAATCACCATAAGTTCACCATCTTCCCATGATCTTCCCATATCCCTCGCTCTCGTGGCCAGGCCCCCACCCCATCACCGTGGAGACCCAGCTTGCTCCGGCGATGCCGCTGATGCCGCGCAGTCCAGACAGCTGCGTGCCACCTGAGCTGCCCGGCGATGGAAAATTCCGCATTTTTCGTAGGGAAATCGTCCCCCGTAATGGACCATGTTTCATGGCGAACTGTGAAATTACCAGTAGCAGTAGGTGGATCATTTTTTTAAAAGGAAATGGGTGAAAAACAGATTTTTTTGAGTTTTCATGGTTTGGAGGTGGTAAACCTGTGGGTTTGACATTGTTGCTTGATAGTCTATGGCTTGGGAACGGACATCCATGGTTTCACACCAACAAAAATGTATACAAATGTGGTAAACGCATGTAAACGCATTAAAAAACATCAAGGCATGAACTTACCACCTTAATGGAAATCGTGGAAATCGGCCGCCTCTGCTGCCGGGGAGGTGTGTAGATTATCTGACTACCCTCTGGTAATTCAACAGTTTGCTATGGAAACCCACCATCTCAACAGGTAAATCATCTCTAAATGGGTGATTTTCCATATCTCTGTCAGATTGAAAGAGGGTATCTATCTATCTTATTTGAGTGTTTCTGATCTCACCTCATCTGTCCCTTTCTATAATCATTCCAGACAAAAAGGCTTATCCTATTGAAGTGTTTGTTTTTTTTTTCGGCCTATACTATCCATACGGTACATCCATGCACATTCCATTGCAGCCAAGTGCGAGGCGTTCCGTTGCATGAAACATACCTCCATCATAGCCCCAGCTCCAAGGGTTCGGAGTAGTGCAGACTGTCACTGAGGCAGACCCAAATGCGACGGCCAACACGCAGCGAACACTTCCAATTTGTGCGCCTTGATTCGCAACGACTGGGTCTCTGAGTCATAACCCATTACAAGGACTGACCTTTAGCAGCTGTCACAAAAAGAGATCAACACAACTTGGCCCATTGGCATAGCGTGTTATATTCCTCCTGCTTTTGAAAGATCATGGAAGATCATAGAAGGTCAGATTTTCCTTGTAAAACAGGAGGATCGAGCTTAGGCATGCTAAACGGGCCACAGTCCACCCCTCGTTTCTATCAGAAACAACACGAAAACCAAGATTTGCACTTAAAGCATCTTAAAGCCATGTCCGTGAACGGCAAAAGCACCTGCGCAGCAAAAAACAATGAACCTTGGCTTCCGGCATAGATCCAAAGTAGCAAAACAGGACCTGTAGGACCGTGTGCCGAATGGGCCACAATTGCAGTGCCCAGCGTTACTCTTGGAAACAGCATTAAAAAAACTGATGTCCACCTGAAGATGTCACCTCTATGAAAGGCAAAGCGCCCTCGGTCTCAGCCAACGTCAGCGGATTGCAACTGTTTGTTATTTGACATATTGGTTTATATCCCCATCGTATCCCCATCAGATCTCGTTGGTTCCTGTGAGGTGTCAAATGCAGCCGCTGGTGGGAGTGCTACAGAAGCAGCTGGACAACATGGAGGGAGCCTTGACTGCAAGATGCATCTTTGATCCACAGTGGCCCCAGGGTCAAGACAACTTCTACCGTCCCCACCTGTGGCCCATGCCATCCCAATCGTTGTTAGTTCAACCAGTTACATCCAACTCTTTGTTGTTTCAGATCTGCATTTTTCCTTCCCAAACGGGCAACTTCAAAAACCTCCACGAAGTGATTTTGCACGAAGTCTCATGCTTCCGCGAACGTAAAAACCCAGCTCGAGAAAAGGTGGCGAACGGCCACATGCATAGCAATGGCCGCGAAAGCTTCGCGAAAGCTCACGTTTCAAAGACTTATAATATGATGCCAGATCATCATAATATGACTCTAAGACAGTGGGCACCTAATAGTTGAGTCAATGGTTTGGTGTCGTTCCTCTTAAACGCTTGGGACAGGTGGAGATGTGTGGGAAGGCAGCGATCCCACCATTAGTTGCTCGATCTGCGGGGGCGAACCTCTTGATTCCTTCACGGAGCCAGGGTGCTTGGGAATGCTTGGGAGCCAGCCATTGCGTTCTTCGCCACACGTTTGAAACAGTGGTAGTGGGTTTGTCCAACGCTGGCCCCGAATATGAGTTCTGATTAGGGATCGCTTGCACCCACCAACTTTCAGCCACCATATGTACAAACAGCCATGGCCTTCAAACCCTCTTGCATTCTGAAAAGCTGCACTTGGACTGTGATCTTCCATTGATCGGGTCACTTTTTGTTCGAGACCACCTCCCATGCAGAAAGGACCATGGCTGGTCAGTGGTTTCAAACTCCAGGAGCACCTGCAATCCGTTGAGCACTATGACAAGCTGCAAGCAGCTTGTCGGACATTGGAGCTTGGTGCTACACAGAATGAACCAGAGGAGACGCCAACAGAATCGGACAGGTATGGACAGGTCCAAATTTGCAAAGTATTCTTTTCTTGTGTTGTTTTATGGTACGCATGTACTTGAATCCAAGTAGTATCCTGAGTCCTCCATTTCTTATTTCTTTTCCATGCTTGCTGCTTGCATGTGCATCCCAATTCATGGCGCGGCAAAAACACGTTTAACATTCCACGGGTATCCTAGATATAAAGTGTGGATTATACATGATTATACATGATTATACATGATTATACATGTATATAGTATACACATATAATTATAATTGATGAGAGCTCACGGTGTCTCATGGTCCCAGCCATGGGTAAGTGGGATGCCAAGGCCAGGTTGAGCGATTGCATGGAGAGGCGGGGAGCACGACAATGGAGAACCCATGTTTTACATAGGAAAACATTGGAAAACCAATCACGAATAATCCATAGATCATCTATAAATCGTCCATGAGAATCTAGAATGTCATCCATGAATCAACCATAGATCATCTCTAATTCATCTACCAATCTTCTTTAAATCCCCACAGATTTTCCATGGCCAGCTTTCCGATTGCCAGTGCCCCGATTCCAGGATGGGATATCAGACCAACGCCGTTCGCGCTGACTTTGGCTGGAATCAGCAAGTGGGAGAAGTTGCCGCTCGACTCCGGGGAAACTGCTGGGGAAAGAGGCGTCGGGGTCCAGTCCACCAAAGACACTGACTGGATTGATATAAGACAACTATTAATATAGATTGATATGAAGAGAGTGTGAGAGGGAGAGAGAGAGAGAAATTGATATAGATTGATATAGATTGATACAGATTGATATAGATTGATATAGATTGATAGGCATTACGTATCCACAATGTGCACCAATAGCATTTTCTTAAACCACATACATACACCCATACACACACGGAGATATGATATATATATATATGTATATATGTATATATGTATATATATATGTATTTTGTGCTAATGCAGTGCATTTACATGAAATTATTACAAGTATTAGTATATCAGAGGATCCTTGCCTTCACACAATGCCGTTGACTCTTGTGCTTAGCATTCGCACGCCATCACGATGAACATCAATGGAACCTCATTGCAGCGACCCCCAATGGGATAGAAAGGGGAAACTATTTCCATCCGTTTTACATAATTTTTCATCATTTCCATCATTTCCCCAGCCTTTTGAATTAGCTGGAGGATCACCAATAGCGTGGCAAACCCAATGCCATAAAACATATAAAACATTCCCAAGTCATAACCATTTGTTGGCGTGCTATAAATAAACCATCCCAAGTCATGGCTGTTGTTTATGACTATGGCAGCCATGGTTTCCCACATTTAGTGTGAATACATCACCATTAAATCCCATTAAGTCACATTAAATCCCATCAAGTCACATTAAATTCCATTAAGTCCCATCAAATCACATTAAATCCCATCATATCCCATCTAATAACTATTAGAACTACCATTAAATCATGCCAGCCATCCCAAGGTGCGGCTTGAAATTCTCTGAGGTCTTCAGCCACTTGACCTTAGAGCAACGCTGACGTCTTCGCCCAGCTCGTCACGAAGCGACGTGGCGTGGCTGGGTCCTGTGGGCCCTGGCCACAACATCTAGACATACCCTCTGGTTATGTCAAAATAGCTATTGAAAATGATCATTAATAGTGGATTTTCCCATTAATAGCATGGTGGATCTTTCCATAGCTATGTTAGTTTACCAGAGGGTATCTATAACGACGGACTATCACTTAGACCGGATGGTTTGTTGTGGAAAATTCAAGATCCGACAGAAAAAGAAACTTTGAACATCAATTTAGTGCCAATGATATCCAATTATGACTGGACGTTCTAGTGTGCACTTGGACCGTGGGTAAGGTAAGGTTCAAACTGGCTTAGAACAGAGAATCTAAGTGATTGTCTGTCGCTATACAGCGGCCGTGGCTGGAAAATCGTAGAATGTCGATGGACATAGATTTAGCGCAGAGAAGGAAGCCACCCTCGGGCCTTTTCCAAGACCTGAGGGAGTTTCAGTTTGGGCTGTTAGCCGAATTCTCTGGAGCCTCTTTTATAGTTTAGATGCCACATGGGCGACAGTCCTGTCATCTTCCCGGCAGCCATGGAGTGCAGGTTAGATCTTTTTGTCCCGAGTTTCTGCACACCTGTTTTCGGGCCACAAGCTTTGGGGCAGGAACATTTTGATCCACTCATTTCACTCATTTCATGTGTGCCATGCTCTAAGGGGATTGTTCTATGCACCAAATCTTCCGCTTTCCAAATTTCATTTCGCTGCGCTTCTTCCATGGCACATTGGCTGCATGGGAGACCGGCTGGGTTTTGTTCCGACAGCATTTTAAACACAAGCCAGAAGGGCCAAAAATGGCGCAGACGCGAGGGAGGTGCCAGGTCCTGATGAAAACCATTGCAAAAACTGCATGAGCTTGTAGTTTTGGGCCATGAATTATGTAGGGGACGCATCTATGTCTTGTCGCCAGTGATCTGATCTTATAGTGTGAAAGACAGGGTCTCAGTCTCAGCTATACACACCAATAATCAATCACACCGTGGCTCTGGAGACCGCAAGTTACGAGTACCCATTGCGCTCAATGTGATTTATGTACACGTTCGTTCCATGTAGGCCTCGTTTTTGCACCAGCACAGGTCTTGTTTCAAAATCATTGGGGTGCCTACGTTTTTGAGGTACGTGCACAAACGTGTGCCCACGCACAGATGTGTTGGAACTGGTGCAGCCTGTTTTGGATCAGCTGGCACGGCCTGCAGCGGAACCTCTGAGTTGGGGTCCCAGTTGGAAAATCTCCGCGGAGCCTCGAACTGAAACAGTCCCAGAATGGAAGGGAAAATCGGCTTGAATACCCTTATACTCAGTGAAATCTACGGTTTGCTGTTTGAAACAGTCACATGGCCGCTGTCCCAGGCTTTGAAGCAGAGGCCACTATGACCAGGTGGGCCCAAATCTTTCGGAAGCTGACTATTTTAGGATATTTTAGGTGATTCTGATGGATTCGCAATGGTTTTCATGGATTTGCCTTGATACAAAAGGCAATGTTTCCATACATATCCATCATATCTGGCTGATGGTTTCAAGTATTCCAAAGTGATTGGCATTTTCCGTCCAGATATATCAGAGATTTGGCTGATGCTTCTAGATCTCCAGATGTCTCGCTGATGTTTTGCAATCCTACTTGGAATGACAACAACCCCAACTGGCTCGTATATGACGGGAAGAAATCATTGTTTTATTCGCAGATCTCCGCTATATATACATATATTTAATTACATACATATACATTTATACATACATATACAATTATACATATATATATATATAAACATACATACATACATATACATACATATACATATGCATACATATACATATAGAAACATATACATACGTTACATATAGACACGTTACATATACATATGCATATATATATATATATATGTGTATATGTATATATATATATCCATCGGTTCCTGTCATTTTTCTGTATTTGTCATTTGAACACTTGTCCCTTGAGAACTTGCAGAGTTGACTGCTTCTCACACGTCTAAGCATCCCCCCAAATGGAACATTTTAGTAGGAGAAATTATGATCATAGCATTATATGTATATATATATATATTATTTTTACATGGGGCTTATGAGTAGTCTCCATTACCTCCCTGTAAAGTTACGCCTAGTTGTGTACATGTAAATACTCTGACCATTTGGCTCAAGAACAAAATAGTGTGCTCGCTTGCTGGCTGATCTAGGTTGATTAACCTGTGAATATAGGTTATCAGCCGTATCGCCAGATACATTCCTTTTGTAAGTAGATGTCTGCCCCCTTTGGAAAACCATCTCCAGAGGGCTCGCGCGATTCCGGGATCCATCAAGCCATGGCGATCGAGGATGCAGACAATGGCCAAACTGGAAACAATGCACCAAGTCACACAACTTCCCAGACTCCTTCAGAACGCTCCCGCAGTGATAAACGTGAGGTCCGTGTCCCGCTTCCACCAGGCGCCGTTGTGCCCCAAAGTGGAGCCCAGAGGTTTTCACACCGTGGATATGACTTTCACGCATCCCGGGAGGGCATGCCTGCCGGCTCACATCATGTACAATCCAACACTGTCGAGGTACACCACCATGAGATGACTGAGGTGAATAACACCATGAATCTACGACAGGTACAAAACAATGAAGTGTACGTGAATTCACACGACCCTGCAATTACACAGATGGTAGAGCAGGTTGCCGAAGCACGTCATCGAGAGGCATTAGCCAACACTGAACACATGGTGCAATCGATGATGTCCGAAATGAGCGGTAGGTTCCATGCAGAAGAACAAGCTGCGAGTGCCCGGATGCAACAGATGATGTTGCTCGCAGAGAGTCGGGAAAATCAATTTCGTGAAGAATTGGCCCAACAAGGGGAAGTATATAAAAGGGTTTTAGACGGAAATGCCAGACAGTCAAATGCAACGAAGGAACAACAAATCCAATCACTCAGGGATCACTATGAACGCCAGGATGAACATCGTAAGATGCAGATGTCCCAACTTGAATCCATCATCAAGCAACAGAGTGAGCAAATAAAGGCCCAACAGTTGCAAACCGAATCCATGAACATGAGGATGAGTAAACTCCTTGACACAATAGGCCCAATGCCGATTCCAATTGTCCAGACCGCCACTGCCATAATACCGCCGTCCACTGAAGTCAAGTACTCTGCACCGTTGCCGTCATTTGCATCAGCAAGTGCGTCTAAACCAGCGGAACCCAACCAAGATATATGGGAAATGCTTGACCCGGAAGGAAATGCACCAGTGGATAATAAGGATCCTGTCTCTGAAATAACCGGTCTTAGGTCCCCAACGTATCCACCAACGAGTGTTGCACCATCGGATGCAGGTGGAAAGCCACCAGGACCTGACCCTCCAGATGATGACAAGGACTCACAGGCAGATCGCGACAGCAAACGTGGTAAGGACAATCGTGGGAAGAAGCCCCCTCCGGGGAGCCGACGCCCACCGGGAGGTGGGCCTGGGGACGGTGATGATGATGATGGAGACGGGGATGGGTACAATTCTGATGATAGTGACCATCGATTCATCCGTCGCATGAGAGCCATGTTCGGCAGTTCCAGGGACCAGTCACATGAAAAGAACAAGGTCAAAGAAGCCGACACTGTGAAAGTTCCAGCTTTTCCCCATGCGGAGTCATACAGAAATTGGAGGATTCGCACAAGGGAAGCCGTAATGTCAGCATCTACTGACCCTGATAAAGCATTTGATTGGATAAGTGAGACCTGGAAAGAAGGCCAAACAATCGGGGCTCTTCGTGACGTAGGCAAGTTCACCACACTGGATGCCAAATTGCTGTCCGCGCTCACCAATATTCTCACAGGTGATTTCGCAAGAAAGGTTGACACTTATAAAGAGACTGAAGCAACAAACCATCGTTATGTGAGGGGCCGTCAAGTGCTGTTTATGATGCATGAACATTTCAGTACAAACATCAAGCATGGAGCGACCTACTCACTACAGGATTTGTTCAGTGTCAAACTTAAGGGTGACAACCTACGCGGATTCATCAGCAATTGGGATCAAGTGATGGCTGGTATCCCCAAGATTCCTGAGATTAGCATTCTGGAGACTCTGTTCTTTAACCAAGTCAAGACCAGTAAAGCAATAGCACACGACTTGCAGGAATATCATCGTGCTGAGGATGGGACCGAAAAGAAGTCCTACGATTTCCTAGTGACAGCAGTTCGCCGCTACTTGGATAGGGAGCGACTCGAGTCCAATCGTGAACGAGTTGCCAGGACCCTCGGTGCCTCGTCGTCCAGCGCAGCTCCGGCTGTGGGTGAGAAGACTGGGTACATTCCAAAGGGATACTGCGTCAAGTGGAATAAAGGGACCTGCACGAATGATGCCTGCCCATTCAAACATGAAAAGCCTCCACCAAAGAAAGACAGAAGTCAATCACGACCCTCATCCGACCGTGGCAGATCATCATCAAGGGGTAAGAACGATAAGAGCAAGAAGAAGCAGCCATGCAAGTTTTGGAAACAGGGAAGATGCAACAGAGGCAATGACTGTAGGTTTAGTCACGAGGGTAAGCAAACCAAGTCTCCTCGTGCTGCCACTCCTGCCAGGCCTTCGTCCAATGACCCGAAAGGATCCAGACGAAGGAACAGCAGAAGTCCAGGAAAAGGCAGGGACCGCTCGCCAAAGCAGAAGGGATCAAGGAGTCCCAGGAATAGCCGCTCCCCAAAGGGGAATCGAGGCAAGCCTGACACTCCCAAAGCTTCCCCAGCAGCCGTCTGCCTGATTGCCTCGATGTTAGCATCCGTATCCAATGCATGCCTAATGCCACCCATTGATGTGATCAGTTGCCCAGCAGTGACATTTGACACCAATCACGATGTGTATCAAGTCATTGCCAAGGGGGACCTTGAGCCTATCAATCCAGCCTCAAGGAGATACAAGAGAACTTTTCCTATCAACTATCCGTTTGATTTTGACCGAAGAGACGTAGAGGACGCATGTTTGTCAGCGAACATGTTGGCAGGAGCAGTCAAGAATTCGTTAATGAACAATGTCTGCAAATGCAACTATGAATGTGACACCATGTTTGGTTGTGATCACTGTATTCCAAAGGAAATAGTTGCAATGCCTGCCAAATCCGAGGAGTACGTTGATGGATGTTTCGAAGCCTCTATCGATTGGATTGTTGATACCGGTAGTGCACAAGATTTACTCACTGATCACCATGTACCGGATCATTACGGTTATTTTTCCGACAATCCAATCCGTCTCATCACGGCAAATGGGGAAAGTTCATCCATGAAGCAGGGCAAGGTCAAAGTCCCAGAGCTGAATGCTACCGTGTCACCGTACCTGGTGCAAAGTTCACCTCCTGTTTTATCAGTTGGACTCAGGTGCGTTGAGGATGGATTTGACTTCGTGTGGAGGGGCTCCAAGAATGAGAAGCCGAAATTAGTTTCACCTGATGGGAAGGTCATTGAACTTGAAGTCAGAGACTATGTCCCATACCTATGTTCCAAATCAAATCAACCAAGTGTGTCCACAGTGGCAAAATCAAGCAACAATGGTTCTCCCATGAAGAGAGTTAAAGTGATGGCTAATTCATCAGGATCCGAGTCAGGCTTCATAGAAGAGGAGGATTCTCCCCCGTCACCAGACCTTTACGACGAAGAATATGAAGATGACGAACCTGCAGTTGTAGGAGGTAATTCATCAAAGTTTGACGATGACCTTGTACCCGACATCTCAGGCGATCCCGGTGCCGATGCGCCCTCCGATGAAGAAGGCATTGCACCAGCTGACCGGGAGGTCCAGCCTGATGATGTTGATGATTCAAGGGATGAAGTCCGTCGTGACCCGGAAATGGAAAGACGTAGGGAGAGGGGTAAGGCCGCACTCAAGGCTGAAGCTAAGAGCAAACGACACATGCTTACCCATATTCCCAAGAATCCATACTGTGATGTCTGTACGAAGGCCAAGATGTACAAGCCACCCGGTTACTCTAAAGGAGGATCATCCATGGTTGATGCAAAGAAGTTTGGGGATCATGTCACAGGTGACTATCTTATTGCCAAATCGGACCCTGAAACCGGTGTTGATGGAGATAGGGTCGCAATGGTACTTAAGGATGTTGCCACTGATTTTCGATATGTTTACCCCGTTGCACGCCGTGACACTTCCAACACCGCACTGGCCATGAAACATTTCGTTGATGACTTGGAGAAAATTGGAATCTTTTACCGTGATAATGCCCCAGAAATTGTAGCAGCTATGAGAGCTATGAAGATCAGGCATCAAATCAGTAAAGATTACATTTCGACATCCAATGCCATTGCCGAACGAGCCGTGCGGTGAAGGAACGCGTGCCAATTTACTTCAAGCAGGACTTCACCATGGATATTGGCCTTATGCTGCCAGACATTGGTGCATCATGCATGACACGGCACCTGATGGGACTGGAAAGGACACACCATGGAAACTAAGGTTTGGGACAGACTTCGAAGGACCACTTATCCCGTTTGGATGTAAGGTGGACTATTGGACTGGACCTAGGAAGAAGCCAAAGAAACAGATGAAGTTCGAACCGACCACTGAACCTGGTATCTTCCTAGGGTATGTCATCCATCCCGGCTTCCATTGGAGAAAAGAATTTGCAGTAGCTTCTCTAAAGCAAATCAATGATGCAGATTTTGACCAATCCGTCACAGTATTGAGGGTGTTAAAGGTTTCAGTACCCGAGAGGATTGAATTTCCCTGTCGCAAACGTGCCGATGCCATCCGAGACGGTAGCTTGAAACCAAACCAGCTGTGTGATGAGCAGGATGCATTACCGCCACCGGAAGAGCAAGATGCTCAGCCTGTGCGGGAGCCAGGCCCAGTCAAGAGATCAATAACTGACATTGAAGCTGGACAGCCTGTACAACAATCCAGTGCATCCGCAGTCTATCACCAGGGATGGTTGGAATTTTTCAAGCATGTTGATCACAAGGAAGCATGGTACGAATACGCCAATTGCAAGGTGAATGTTCGGATCATCGACAATCAGTGTATAGGTCCATCTCCCGACTTTGATGCAGCCGATTTTCCGTTTCGGACAACATGCATTAAAGATGATGAATCATGGCATGTCCACGAAGAAAACTTGAAGATTGATCCTCCGGTCGAAGACCTTGAAAAAGACATTGAGGTTCATGAAGTGATCGTCACCATATTCTCAAAAGAGCCGATCGACCTGAGGAACCGTGTGGACGAGCCCATCAGAGGAGCTGTACCTGATACCGAAGTCGAGGTAATCAACCCGATCACAGGGGAACTCGAAAGAATCAAGACTAATGACCCCTCATTCTATGACGCAGGTGGATTTAAAGCAAGAAAATACAAAAATTCAAGCAAACCAAAGGACATCCCTCCATTTGTTTGGCAAGCAATGTCTCAAAAGGAAAGAAGAGCATCGATTGCAGAGGAGCAACGGAAATTAGCCCTGGAAGAAAAGGAAAAGAAACGCGCCAAAAGAGTGAAAGCTGTACCCATGATCGGAACTCTCAAGGAATCACCAAATGAATTGGATGAAAGTTTATCCTACGAATTCATCCCAGCTATGCCTGTTTGCCAGATGAACCCTCAAAAGCATCGAGTTAAGTGTATTAGGCTTGGAATCCAATCTGGGGAGAAAGCCGTTAACACTTTGGTGGCTAGGCCAGTAGGCAAAAAGGAAATTAGAGCCAATCCCAAAGCCCAGCAAGCCTTAGATGTAGAATGGGACAAACTGGTAAAGAAGAAGGCCTGGCAATATGAAACAGTGGCCGAATGGAAGGTCATTGCCGACAAGGCCAAGAAGACTGGGAAGAAGGTCCATGTAGGAAAGGTCTTTGAGATTTGCGTTGAAAAGGGAAGTGAATTACCCGAGGGAGATAAACTCCGAAAATTCAAAGGAAGAACAGTATTTCAAGGCAACAATGTAAAGGACGAAAGTGCCGATGTTGCCCTGTTCTCGGAATTAGGGTCTTCGCCTGCCACCATGGAAGCTGGCAAAGCAGTAGATGCCTACGGAGCTCAACCGGGATTCATAACCCAACAAAATGATGGAGTACAAGCTTACACTCAAGCCTTATGGAAGGGCGTGGAGACGTGGGTGGAACTGCCACCCGATCGATGGCCCAAAGAGTGGCATGGTAAGTTCATTAGACCAGTTGTATTGCTTCGCATCGCTCTTTACGGTCACCCCGACTCGGGGGGACTCTGGGAACAGTACTGTGAAGCCATGTTGAAACTAGTGGGCTTTATCATGCCAGACCCGGAAGGGTGGCCTTCGGTGTTTTTCCATCCAGAGCTCAAATTGTTGCTTGTCGTGTATGTTGACGATTTTAAGATGTCCGGTCCCAAAGAAAACATGTCAAAGGGATGGAGTTTGATTGCATCAAAGATTGACATGGACACTCCCGGGGAAGTCAATAGATATCTTGGATGCGACCATGTAGCTCAACACAACGTAAAGCTCAAGGTCGAGGATCACCCTTATGCTCATGTCTTTGACAAGTCACTGGCCGACCCGGCCGCGCCTGCCGCCGCCGCGTGCCACAGGACTCAGGATTTCTGGGAGCTCGACACCGTTAACGATGTCTACATGAGACACCATGTGCAGCCAAGGAAGAAACTATTTTTGCCCGATGAAGAAGTGGTTAAGTCATGCCAACTAGCCCCATTTAGATTCACGAATGCAATCCCATGTAACAACCATGGAAGTGAAGTTGAGCAATGGGATACTATTGGAATTGGATCCAACGTGAACAAAGGGGGTAGTCTCAATGATTCATGGGTTGGCACAACATACTTCTTCTCAACATCATGCAAAGATCCAAAGGCTGCCATGGCCACCATCAAGAGGGATAAGTCCGGAGCCAAAAAGAAAGCTAGAGCGGAAGGTTTCTCTTACATGGACCAACTGTTTGAGAACCAACCCTGCATGCAAAAGCCGGTGACTACATTTACATATGATATGGAGCCTTTTCTCAAATCATGTGTTGAACGTTACATTTCACTTGCGGGCAGGGATGCCAAGCCTTTGAAACAAGTTTCCACACCATTTCATGAAGAAAGAATTGCACGGCCCATTGCCGATGAGAAGGAAACCAAAGGCGTATTGGCTCCAATAGCCGCAAGGGTCCTTATGAAAGTGCTATTTGCAGCCAGGATGGCACGTTTCGATTTGCTGCGTGCCGTCCAAGGCCTAGCAGCTCGTGTGACAAAATGGAGTGCAGAATGCGATAAGGCACTGCACAGACTTATTTGTTACATTAATTCCACCCTGGATCACAAGCAAAGGGCTTTCATTGGGGACAAGGTTAGTGAATGCAGGCTTTGGCTATTTGCTGACGCAGACCATGCAGGGGAGTACGACAATCGATCCACCAGTGGTTGTTTGTTAGTTCTTGTAGGCCCCAATACCTACTTCCCGCTCACAGCATTCAGTAAGAAACAAACTGCCGTTGCAATGTCAAGCACCGAAAGTGAAGTTGTCAGTGCAAACGTATCCCTCAGAGCTGTCGGTCTACCTTCCTCCGGTTTGTGGGCATACCTCCAGAACGCGGGGGGGAGAGAGCACCAAAAGACAGCATACCGGGAGGTTTGCCAAGGCATGACATTGAAACCCAAAAAGAATCCAATGGGGAATACTGGCAATTCATGAGAAGTAGAAGATTGCTCGTCCGAGTCCATACAAAACCAAGGTCACATTTGTTCACACCCGTTGACATGTCCAAGTCACCCATTAACCTTAAGCGTATCGGATGTGCTCGAACCACCGTGATGCTAAAGGACGGAATGGTTGACTTCATGCAGGACAATTGGAAGGTCAAAGTTGACTACCCGATCAACGGGGAGTGGACCGGCAAGACTTTCTTCAGGGTCTATGGTCCCTACGAGTCCGACTACAACATCGAATCGGTCGAAATCCGTGAAGCCATCACCGACTACGAGTTCGTAGGACGTGAGAAAGAGGGAGAATGTATGATCTCAATGTTTTCCCCACGGTCGATAAAAGGTGTTTTTGTAGAGGACAATCAGGCCACCATTAGAATCCTTGAGAACGGAAAATCACCCACTTTCCGGCATACAGACAAAACACAGCGAGTTAATCTATCTTGGCTGGAGGAACAGTTTAAAAGAAGGTGGTATAAGCTAGTCCATGGTCCAAGCATGCTCCAAGCTGCAGACATTCTCACGAAACCATTTGTTAATGCAGAGAAATGGAAACTAGCTGTCAAACTTCTTGCATTGACCCCCACCAAGAAGATTACCCCACCGAAAGCTTTGGCGTCGGCGTCGGAGGCCATCACACCTCCAATCATTGCCACACCAAGCACGGGGGGACCCGCTGCCAAGTCTGATACCAAGAGACTGATCGTTGAAGTTTGCTGTCATCCCGAGTCCAAACTCAGCCAAACCAACAGAAAGTGGTCCGAAGGTTGTGAAGTACTACAGTTCACTGAAGAATTTGATCTAAACGAAGTCGAAAACCAAATGAGGATTGCAGAGTACGTCAACTCTTTCAAAGGTGATGTGAAACCATTTATATGGATCAGCCTACCGTGCACGGGGGGTACACCATGGACGTATATCAACATGAAAAACCCCAGTGCACGTGAAAAGGTGTTGAAACATGTCAGAGAGTTTGACCGACTTTGGATTTCCTTGAAATCGTTTCTTCGGATGTTGAACTGTGAAGTACACATTGCACTCGAGTGGCCACGAAAATGTCGATATTGGAAATTGACCAAAGTTGCAAAGCTGTTGAACTTTTATGGGATGATTGCATATCATTTTGATGGATGTGCTCTTGGAATGGTAAATCAAGACAATGATCCTTTGAAGAAACCTTGGACAGTGGCCACAAACCATGCTGGAGTCGGTAAAGCATTGTCGAAGTTCCAATGCACATGCAACAGGCGTCATGCTCCAGGTAGAGGTATTGCACTCAAGAAAACGGAGGAATACACTTTCCGCATGACAGACGCCATACATAAAGCTCTTACCCGACAGCATCCCGCTCTCAAGCTAACTTGCTGTGCACTCATCGTGCCCTTTTGTTCTCCCGTCTTCGTCATGTTGACTCGTGCAATCCAAATGGCCAAGGCCTGTGCGGTTGCCGGGAGGCCCGCCATCCTCGAGCGCATCACCCAATGGGAAAGTGTGGTCAACACCCTGAAGGCAGCCATTGCGGTTGCGACGTGGGACGACCCACAGGTGCTCTTGCGAGAGATGGAGGGATGCCGCCTACCCCTGGCGAACATCGTCGAGCCGATGCTGGGTGGTGGCAATGCTGAAGGGGCATACGACACGCTCGCGGAAGTCTACAAGAACACGCCCGATGGGTTTTTGGCCATGTGCCCCTACCCGCCGGGAGGCGAGGTCGACCTGCTGATCGTATCGGACTCATCTCTTGCTCTGGTACCTGACCCCCAAGCAGGGAAGGCTTCGTGTTTTTCCGGAGGCGATCTTTTGAAGCCCTGGGGAGACATCCGTGGGATTTACACAAAAATGTTGTGGGGCAAAGGTTTGAATCACATGGTGCAGTACATCCCCGAGGCCATCGACGACATCGAGTCCACCAATCGTGCACATGGTCGCCCGGTTTTGCCGATGTTGGTCATCGTGGGGTGGGCCGGCAATGATGTGTTTGGCGAAGGGGGTTACAGAGGTGTCCATTGGATCCACAGGGCTGCCTACAACAAGTCTGCTGCCGACCGGGAGGTCACGGCCAACTGGTGTGAGCGGCAAAAGGCAAGAGTCGAGCGGTCCGTCAACGAACTGGGCCAGCTCAAACGTGATGAGCCTCGGATCCTGGACATCGTGGTCGTTGGGAACGCTGACACGGAAATCTTTGCTCTCCCGTCAGCCTACAATGAGACCATGCGGGTCCACATCAGGGCACTTCGAGAGGACCATGGTATTCAAACTTTGGACACCACCTTGATGCTTGCCAGAACTGTGAGATATGACAAGGTGCACTTGGAAGACGACGAAATCAACCGGAAGTATGTCACCAACTTCCTCCAAGCCGTCGCTGATTGCCACCTTGCCTACCTCAAGCTCATCAGCGTCGACGATCACTTGAGAACGCTCCCAAGAATTGACGATCTCCAGGAGCAGAAGAACTACCCGAACCTCACCATCCTCAAGGCCGCGTACCAGCTTGAAATCGATTCGAATGTATCCTCTCCAAAAGATCTTCCTCAGCGACCTGATCCTGAGAAGCTCATGTTGGATGCAGATATCGAGATTTTCAACTGGGTGCTTCAAGCTGAGGAGAGCGCCGCAGCCTCTGCCGACCGGGAGGTCGAGTCCTGGTTGCGTGACATCCCTGAAGAGGACCAGGCATTGGAACCAATGCACCATGACAACGCTGATTCGGACGATGAGGCTGTCAAAGTTCAGGCCCTCACCATGGATGATCGAATTTTGGCAAGGCGAAAGGGCCTTTCAGAGGAGCACGACCAAGAATGGCAAGATGCCACCTATGCGGCTGAGGATGAAGATGAGGACTTCAAAGGGTGGGACCTCATTGAGGATGACAAACGCCCGCCGGGAGTCGTGGCCAGTGACCCAGTACATGAAGAGGAAAAGGAGCTGGACCTTGACGACCTCGAGACGGTGGCTTCGGTGGAGATTGTCGATGAAGAGGAGTTCCACGACGCTGAGGAGGGGCAGGCAGAGCCGATGGATGATGATGACGATGACGACATGGCCGTGATCGACAAGGTCTCTTCTATGCAGGCCTCGAAGTCTGATGCACGGGGGGACCCGGAGCCCATGGATGTTGATGATCAGGGCAACAAGATGGTCCAGAGTACGGCATCAGCGAAGACCTGGAAGACGGAGATGGCCCAGAGCTCGTCATCGGCAAAGACGTGGAAAACTGACATGGCTCAGAGCACCTCATCTGCAAAGACATGGCGAACTGACACCACTGCAGCTGCGTCGGCGGGAGCCACGCCTTCTGACCCGACGTCCAAGCTCAAGCCCAAGAAGAAGGCCATGCCAAAGAGATTGAAGGTTGTGGATGAGGGACATGGGCCAAGTGCTGAACAGTTTGACACGTCGAAATTTGCCTCAGCACAGGATCTGGTTTGGATTGAGCCGGACAACATGGCAGGAGTTCCTGTGCGCAAGGTGGACTACGGGAGGCTCGGATCAATTTCCCATGCTATGTCCGGCTACCTCCGTGGCCATCGATTGTTTCACAGGAGGCCATCACCTGAGATTCGGAGGACTGATTTGTCAATGGACTTCAAGGCATTGGTGAGGCATCTCCAAGGGGATTTTGCGCACCTCCGAGAAGAAGAAGTCTTGATGGTCGTGCGCAACTCTCCGATGCGTCGCTTCAGAGTCCAGGTGAACGGCTTGTCGTCCGGAAAGCTCAGGTGGACGCCAGTGAGGATCAGGGCCATTCAGGGCCATCGGGCCTTTCTCGTGGAGCAAGGGGGGATGTCAAGCATGATCAAAACGATGTTCACTTTTGATGAGAACTTCGACCAGACCAAGATTGACGACCCATCGGTCCACCCCGCTTTCTCCGCGATGCCGGCAGGCTCGCCTGTGTGGCACCAGTTTCCCAGGGTGGTGTATCACACCTGTGACCAAGCCGCCTTCAATTCCATCATCAAGCACGGCCTGATCCCTGGCGGATTCCCGTACAAAACGGGCAGAGCCCACAACTTT